ATAAACAATTTTGTAGCATACTTTCGAGCGCGTTTCTTTTTTTTCCCTCTCTTTTGGCAGTTGCTTTTGACTTTGCTTTTTGACCATATTCGCACAAGTATTTTATTTTTTTGGCGCTTTATTTATTTGCCAATACGTCAGCGAGTGTGTCTGTGTGCGAGTCTTTGGATCGGACAGTTTTTTCGAAAAAAAAGAAATGTAGAAGAGCAAAGCCAAATAAAAAGCATACATAGAAATTGAATGGAAACGCCCCCACGGCAGCCATGAGGCTTTCAATTCTAGTAAATTTATGATGCTGTGTGTGTGTGTGTGTATGTGGGCTATGTATAGGTGTGTGTGTGCGTGTGTAGTCTTTGGTTGCGCACATGACCCTGGCGACAGGAGTTGTTTGCTGCTTGGTTGCGCATACGACACGTTCGACCATAATTCTGGGCAGCAGCAGCAGCGGCAGCAACAACATTTAATAATAAAATAAAATATGTATATTGTGCCGTACGCGTAACAGGCTTAAAGAGCGAGAGCGAGAGAGAAATGTTGAATATAATCAAATTTAACGCCCGACTAGCCGTCAAGTGGCCAAAAGTGGCCAAAAGGTTGTTACAATTTATGTATATTAAGAAATCCAAATTGTATGTGCTGCAAAGTATGTAGTATATAGGATGTAGTATATACACATGTATGCACACAGACTGTGCAGAGTGGCCTATCGATAGCCACTTATCGATGATGCGCGCGTACAGACGCCGCATTAATCAATCGAGCGCACAAATCAGCGCTTAAATGCCAATTGAGTTTAATGGCAGCTCATATTGGCTGCCTGAGTGCCGACTGCTGGGGCTGTTGGGGCTGCCTGGGATGACCGAAAAAATGAAAACAAAATGAAGCACTTCATTCACGCCCTCTAGCCATGCTCGGTTCAAACTGGTTGGCAAAGTGTCATTACATTGCTTGGCTGCAGCAGCACACGCATTCACTAACAATTTGTCTAGCTGTCTGTGTGTGTGTTGGTGTGTTTGTCTGCGAGTCATTGTCGCATACAAGTGGCATATAATGTGCCATGCCATGCACTGCATGCCGCATGCCGAGACATGAAGATATTTTTGTAGCCGTTGCTGTTGCTGCGGCTGCTGCAGCTGTTGTTGTTGTTGCTGTTGTTGTTGTTGTTGTTGTGTCTGTGGCACACTTGAAATATTTAAACGATAAAGCAGCAAAGGCATGTGCATGTGTGTGGGTGTACTTGTGCCTAATAGAACCCTAGTGACAAAGGCATTAGCACACATCCGCACACACACCCGCACACACACCCGCACACGCACACACACAGATGCACGCTTGGTGAGTGTGGGAGACATTGAGTTTTGGCTCGTTGGCTTGGCTTTGGCCATTAACTTTTTGCCACAGCTGCGCATAGCTGGCAAATTTTAACCACAACGCAGCGCAGTTTAATAGAGCCGCCCACGTTGCCAACTCACTTGCATGCAACAACATCACGAACAGCAACAACAGCCAAACATGTGTGGCGTCTAAAAGCAACAACACCAACAACAACAACAGGAGCAACAGCAGCAGGCAAAACATAGCATTGAGTGCGTCGCTGTGGGCGTGAATGCGCGCGTGTGTGTGTGTGTGTGTTTGCATGTGACAGGCCAACAAATACAATTACAGTTGACACCAAGCACACACTTACACACACACACACACACACACACGCATATAAACATGACTCGCAGGCACTATGCGACACAGCGCATATAACATTATATTATTAAGTGCCACGGCAACTCTATACACACGCGTGTGTGTGTGTATGTGTGTGCGTGAGTGTGTGACAGGCTTAGCGAGTGAGAGGCACAGCATAGTGCGTTGGCTCGTTTTTGGCATGGACACGTGAGCCAAAATGCCAAAGGCAAGCCAAGGAAAACAGCTCAGAACAACAACAACAAAAAAACCCAAGTTTCAACTGTTTTTCCAAGAGGAAAACCCAAAGTTCATCAACAACATAAAAGAAGAAGAAAAACAACAAAACAACAAACTAATGAAGTCTACTAAACTCACGCAGCTCAATCAGAAATCAAATTAAAGTGAATATGGAAAAAGCTTTAAATAAATTGCAAATATATTCAAAATATTTCTTCTTCTTCTTTATTTCCACAAATTGCATATGGAAATGTGAACTTTGAATTTCTGTACATATGAAGATGAAAAAAAAGCATTAAAAATAATTTATGCCGAAGCTTTTTTCGTGTACGGAAAATGCAAATGTATTTTCCGCTCGGCTTATAACAGATTTGTAAAATAAGGAATAATAATAATAATAATAGAAATCAAATCAAATGTAAAATGCAATAGTAATAATTATCAATAATTATTTATAAGAAAAGTTAAAAA